TTTGCCGCCCCCGATAAGAGCCCCTGCGCCAGGAGAGGGCGGAGGAGGCACGGCGCCTTCGGAATGCCAACGAGCACGGTCGTTTCTGTGCGGGAGTCGCTGTGCCTGGGATCGTCTGGGGCAGGCACAGCGAATGCCACGAGCCAAGGTGACGCCCGACTGACCGGAATGGCCCAGAGGTTTGGGCCCAAACCGCCCGAATGACCCGCATGACACAGAGTTGGATACTCAAGCTTCCTCTTGGGGCTGCGTGGCGCTGTGTACCCTGGCGATGGCCGAGGTGCCAGGAATTCAGAGGGGCCAAGTTCTGTCACACGAGGGCCCCTGAGGGCCTTGCGCTTCTGAAACTACCGACATCCACGGGATCCTTCGGGAAAACTTTGCGAGAGGCGCGGCCAGCGGCGTTTCGCCATTTTTCCGCATATAAGGTGAGCGACGTCTTGGCATTTTGGCCCCAAGAAACTCGATCCAGCTCGGCGCAACATGTCGTGTGAGCTCCATTCTTTCCTCCCCTGCGCATCCGTTTCCGTGAGAAACAGGGCAAGCGGAGCGCGCTGTGCAAATTAGCACTTCGGAAGCCTGCGGGTGCGACCGGGCCTTGGACCGAGGCAGCCGCGGTCACAGCAAGACATTGCGCTTAACGCCACTCGGGAAGGTTCGGGCTCACGATCCGGGCTCCGTCGGTCGGGGCCTGGACATACATGCAGCCGCGTGGAACACACTGCGACCTAACACATATCTCTGGAGCGAAGCCAGATCGGCCAGAATCGGCAGAACTCGGCTGACACATCGAGTCGGCAGGAGTCGGATCGGGCGAACTCGGAATCGAAATCTCCACATCGAATCGGTTCGAATCGGAAGCCAGGGAAATCGACTCGAATCAGGCTGGCGGAGCCAGAACGACCCCTGAATGTTATCCCTTAAGGGAACTCGCTCGGTTTTCATCATGCGACGTTGGGATGTCTACGGTCCCACTGACCTACGAGATAGGAGTGCCAAGTACGTACTCCAAGACGGCCCCGTACAAACTCAAAACACTCCAAAACAACCCTCAGATTGCTCAAGAGGCCCCCAAGACGGCTCCAAGAGACAGCCCTAGGAGGGCCCGAGGAGCAAAAATCATAATATTTCCTGTTGGTTTGACATGCTTCCGTGTTTCTCTCGTTTCGGGCTGCCGACGGCTCGCGGGGCCTCCAAGATGGCACCAATCTGGCCCAAGAGGCCTTCCAACAGGGCACCAAGGCGGACCAAGAGGGGCCCAAGACAGCCCAAGAGTTTCCCAAGAAGGCCCTGGAGACTTCCAAGACAGCCCCACGGTGCCCAGAAAAGGCCCCAAGACGGCCCAGAGAGGCCCATAAGACTGCGCCCGAAGACGTCAGACAGGCCAAGGGCGGCCCAAGGCAGCCCAAGAGGCCCCCGAGGCCCTAAGAGAATCTTCAGAAATCTTTCAGGAATCTTCAAGAATCCTCGGGAAGCGTAACGAAGCCCGAAGAATCCGCAGGAATCCACAAACATCCTCAGGAATCCTCCGGAATCATCCGGGACCCCAAGGAATCTTGAGGAACCCCACAGAAACCCGCAAGGAATCGGCAGGAATCAGCAGCAAACCATCATGATAATTCTCATAATAATCCTGAAAAGTCCTTCAGGAACCCTCCCGACATCGGCAGGAATCCTACAGAAATCTTCCAGAATCCTTCTGGAATTCTCACGAGTCCTCCAGAATCTCGGGGGTCCACGGGAATCATGAAGAATATTCCGGAATACTTCGGCATCTTCGAGGAATCAACAAGAATCAGAAGAAATCCTGCAGGAACTGGCAGGAACTTGCAGGAATCTGCTTCAGGAACCCTCCAGGAATCGGCAAGAACCCGCAGGATTCCCCCGGAAATTTCAATAATCCGAAGGAGTCATGTAGGGACCCTTCGGGAAGGAATCGGCAGGCATCCGCAAGAATCACCCAGGAACCATTCAGAATCCTCAGTAATCCTGTTTAGGTATCGGCAGGAATGCTCAGGGATCGTCAGGGACGCTCAGGAATGAGCTCACGAGGTGTCTAGGCGGCGCCAGGGAAGCGCCTAGGATGCGTCGAGGAGGCGCCTAGGAGGCGCTTAGGATCCGCCTTGGAAGCGCCCAGGAGGCACCTCGAGGCGCCTAGGAGGCGCCTGGGAGACGCCTAGGAGGCGTCCAGGAAGTGCTTATGAAGCGTTCGGAACTTGGGAGCTCAAATCGAGATCGTTGGGATCTCACCCATTATGGTGCCCTTACCCCTTGGGATGTCACCCAGTCTGTTGGGATCTTACTCGTCCCGTCGGGATCTTACTCGTCCTCGGGCGCATCCCCCCCGGGCTGGCTTCATCACGCAGCAATCAACTTTCTGGCAACGTTCTCGCTCACGTCCTCCTCCTCCTCCTCCTGCTCCTCCTCCTCCTTCTCATCACCATCACGAGCAACATCAGCAACATCAGCATCAACAGCAACATCAGCAGTGTCATCACCATCGCCGTCGTCATCATCATCAGCAGCAGCATCAGCATCAGCACCAGCATCAGCATCACCACAAGCATTCGCACCATCATCATCATCACCAGCATCATCAATGTCAACATCATCATCGTCATTGCTATCGCCTTCGTCATCAAACGCATCACCATCAGTAGCGGCATCATCATCAGCATCATCATCATCACCATCAGCACCCATACCACCATGGCACCACCATCATCACCATCATCATCCACACCATCACCATCATCCTATTCATAATCTGCATCATCAGCATCAGCATCATCCCAGTCATGATCATACGCATCGGCATCATCATCACCATCATCATCGTCACCATCATCAGCAGAAGCGTCATCCTTACTATCAGCAGCATCATAGTAATTAGTATCATCAGCATCGCCATCAGCATGGGCATCCTCAGTATCAGTATGATCACCATCATCATCTACATCATCATCATCATCGTCATCGTCAACATCATTGCCATCATCATCATCATCATCATCATCCTCCTCCTCATCCTCCTCCTCCTCATCATCATCATCATCATCATCGTGACCCTCCTCATCATAAACATCGGCGTCATCATCAGCATCAGCATCAGCATTAGCAGCATCATCAGCATCAGCATCAGCTTCACTAGTCTCATCATAATGTTCATCTACATCGCCGCAGGCATCATCATCATCGCCATCGTCACCACCATCACCACCAGCTTGTATATCATCATCGCCATCATCATCACAAACCTGATCAAAATCATCATCTTCATCATCATCATCATCATCATCACCAACATCGCCATCATCAAATTCATCGTCATTCTACATCATCATCACATGCCTCATCTTCATCATCAGCATCAACACCATCATGATCATCATGATGCTGCCACTGATGCTGCTCATCCTCGCTCTCCACCTCTTCCTCCTCCACGTCCTGCTAATCCAGCTGCTGCTGCTGCCGCCACATCATGCTCATCAGCAGCCTCCCACCCTCGAGCTGCTCCCATATCTCCAGAACCAGCCTGCACCCTTCGGAACTCACCACCCCCAGCCCCACACCCCTCCCGATCCTTCATCCAAGCATCATCCGTTCGCTGTCCCCCCTCTGCAGACCCACATTCGCCATGGCCCTATGGCTCCATGGCCCTTCTCCTATCCTCCGTCCACCGCCTCGAAGGGAAGGTAGGAGTATGCCAGAAGGAAAGACGCTCAACCGACCGCCCCTCCCCACCTCTCAAATGCGCAAAGACGTCCCAGAGAGCAGGATGATATGAGCAAGGCAAAGTCGACAAAAAGGGCCTGGGAAAGAGAACGAGTAGCAACGGTGCGGCAGCAGGAGCCGGAACATCAACAGGGGGCGAGGTAACCAGGGGTTGAGCGGCGCGGCGGCAGAGGGAGGCAGAGGAGCGACATGATGCCAGGGGAGGTCGTGAGGAGGGCCTTTCGCCCGCGTGCTGGGCAAGAGGGTCACGGGGGACGGATGCAAGGCACACAAGAAGATGCTTCAACGTATCCCGTGCTGGTGGCAAGCGATCGCAAAAAACATGGAAATACAAGCACATGTTCCCGTCTCGGAGGAGGGACAGGTACCGATACCGCTACCCTTCGCACATTCCCCCTTTTCTGGGTTCCTGGGAGGCCCTCGTTGCCACCGCTGGATTCGCCTCGAAATCTTGGTCAGAACGCACCCCGGGAGAGATCCGGGGATTGGCGATATCGGTACCTCTTGGTTTCCCCATCATTATGCCGAATGGACCGGGTGGACCCACCTGCTCTTTAAGGAAAGGCCTCGACAAACAAATGCCGAGGGTGAGCAGCTCTGTGTTTCCAGCACGAGCTGCACTATGGGCACCACCATCTGTCTGGAAGGAGCGGGGCACGGTACGCCGCAATCGCCTGATCGCAATAGCAATTGCACTACGCCGGCACGCCGCACCGCAATTGACATTGCGGTACGCCGGATCTCAATCACAATTGCAGAACTCTGCTGACATTGAGCCCCACACCCGCCCAGCACAGCTTTGATCAGCTTTTGGAGCCCACCGCAGCCACATCGGACAGGGGGGGGCCATGGGGTCCCGACATCGAACCCCAGAACACTCATGTCATAAAGCACAACAGCGCGTACGCCGTTCATGTCCAGACCTGCCAGATTCTAGCTGCGTCCGCTCCTGACTGCTACCAGCTCTGGGATGGTCAAGAGAAGCAGCGATTGGGAACTGTGCCTGGTAGGGGTTCGGGTTGCGCACAGACAGCACCCTCAGGTAGTCCTGGCTGGCATCAACACATCCCCCGAGTAGTTTGTGGCGGTCGCAACACTCCATCCTTGGAGCGCGGAGCGCCCAACGGGCGCCGCCGGAGACGGCGCCAGGGTGCTGAGACCGCCTCGGACTACTCGGGGCGCCTGTTCAGGCCAGCCAGGACTACCTGGGGGAGCTGTCTGCGCGTAATTCCGAAGCGTTACAAGTCCAGCCTGTCCAGGACGAATCAGAGTTGGGCCACGCGCCAGCGGAGGGAGCCAAAGGCAAGACATCGCCAGCAATCCTTCTTGCCGCGGTCTCTGCTCTTGCTGCGCTCTTCCTTGCGCTTCTGGCTCCTGCTGCCCTTTTTCCTGTTCGAGGGGGTGGGGGGGAAGCACGTCATGAGGAGGAGAAGGAGGAGGAGGAGGAGGAAGAGGAGGAGGAAGAGGAGGAGGAGGAGGAGGAGGAGGAGGAGGCGGAGGCGGAGGAGGAGGAGGAGCAGGAGGAGGGAGGAGGAAATGAGGAGGAGGAGGAGGAGGAGGAGGAGGACGAGGAGGAGGAGGACGAGGAGGAGGACGAGGAGAGGAGGCAGAGGAGGAGGACGAGGAGGACGAGTTCGAGGGGTGATGGAGGGATCAGGGAGGGGAGCCACGAGGAAAGACTCAACGTGAAGCATCCAAACGAGGCGCCGGAGGGGCCTTCACGGGGGCCCATCGCGGCCCGAGTATATGCAGCTGGCCCGCACCACAAGGACGCGCGAGAAGAATGCAAGGGCCTCGGACGACCCTTTCGAAGCTTCTCGTCGAGCGGGGCGCGGCCAACGAAAGTGACCAAGGATGGGCCGAAGCTGCAAGGATGCAAGGGTACCCTTGGGAAGGTTGCTCATCCTTCATCTGCGGGTTGACTGCAGATGGGACGGCGCCCAGGCGCATTCCAGCAAGCCCCAAAGCCTCAGAGGCATCCGACAGACGGCTCGTAAGAGGCCAGAGCAACTGACGACTTGCGTCTGCTCTGGGCCCGAGACGGCGTCAGATCCGCCGACCCTTCGGCGTGTGTGAGAAGCTGTCGTCGTCGTCGTCGTCGTCGCCAGTCCCGAGGAGATTGAGAAACGAACGAAAAAGAAAAAACGTCGTAGTTCAGTCGATTCACTCCCCTTTTTCCCCTCCCTGACGGGGGTGGGGGATACGCGGGGGGGGTAGCACAGGGGGGCGTAACTACTGGGGTGGGGGTACGAGGGGGGGGGGTCCTGGGTCAGACTGCCGCCCCCCGTGTGGACAGTGCAGACACGGGGGTGGGGGGGTCGCTCCTGCGGGGGGGGGTCGCTCCTGCGGGGGAGTTCCCGCCGTTGGCGGGGGAGGGTGGGGGAAGGTCAGAGTTCCGCCCAACTGGAGTTCTGGCAGTTCCGGGAAGGGGGGGGGGCGCCAGCGGGGGTTCAGGGGGGAGGTCCCGCCTTCAGGTCCGCGGCACCGGCCGCAAGGCCTTCACGTCCCAGACGTTTCAGACGCTCCAAGATGGCCTAAGGACCTCTCACAGGGGCCCCTGGACAATGCAAAAGGCCTCCTCCAGTTCCTTGTGACCGGGCCAAGACGAAGGGTTCTCGCCCCTAGGCACTTACAGCGCCCCAGCACTTCCAAAAAGCAGTCCAGCACGAATCATACCAAATCAGCACGACTTCCATATGGCTCCACGCTGCCTCATATTGTTCATATTGTAGGAGCTCGACCACAATAAACCTGTCACGAGAAACCCACCCCGAGATTCCAGGACGTCCATGTATGTTTGGCGTGGGAACGTCACGCTTCCACTAGAAAAACCATCGACGCCCAAGAAAACCCAGGGCACCCTGGAGGCAAGGCAATTTCTTGGCATGGGCTTCCACTTTGGGCATGCAAGTTCGGAGGTCCGCCAGGTCTCTTAGATCCTGGCGCGCGGAGCGCGCCAGGGGCGGCGCCAGAGGCGCGGCAGGGGCTCCAGCAGCGTGCCAAGAATCTGTTTATGTCGTTTGCCCGTCGTCGACACGGCGGCTCCGCGGCGCCCTCCGCCGCGTGAGCGCTCTCCCTCCTCCGCCTCCGCCCCGCGGCCGCTCCCGCCTGGCCAGCAGGAGGCCCAGGCAAACATCCTGGACCTGCTAAAGGTGGTCGTTTTTTTTATTCGTTGTTCCCTACCTGGGCTCTGCCTAGAAGGGTTCTTACTCGGTCTGCTTAAAGGGCCGGGCAGTGGACCTCGCCCCGGGCGGTTCCCCCAGGATCCCCCGCTTTGCCTGGCCTAGCTTAGCTTAGCATAGCTTAGCCTTAGCTTAGCTTAGCTAGGTTTAGCTTAGCTTAGCTTAGCTTAGCTTAGCCTGGCTTAGCTTAGCTTACCTTAGCCTAGCCTAGCCTAGCTTAGCTTAGCTTAGCAGAGCTTAGCTTGCCTTCGCTTAGCGCAGCATAGCGCAGCGCAGCGTTAGCACAGTACAGCATAGCATAACATAGCCAGGCGCATCATAGCATAACATAGCATAACTCTGCATATCATAGCATAGCATAGCATAGCATAGCGCAGCATAGCATAACATAACACAGCATTACAAATCATTGCTTAGCATAGCACAGCGCATCATAACATAGCACAGGACAGTACAGCACATCATATAATAGCATAGCACAGCGCAGCATAGCATACCATATCATAGCATAGCGCAGCATGTCATATCATGCCATAGCCTAGCATGGCATATCATAGCGCGGCATCGCCTACCATATCATAGCATAGCATAACACAGCGCAGCATAACATAGCATCACCTAGCGAAGCATAGCTTAGCTTACCTTAGCTTAGTTTAGCGCATCGCAGCATAGCGCAGCGCAGCATTAGCACATCACAGCATAGTATAGCCAATCACAGCATATCGTAACATAGCATAGCATATCGTGCAACGCAAAAGAATCACCAAGGCGAAAGTGTAGATGTCGATGTAGATGTAGATGTATATGTAGGTGTAGATGTAGGTGTGGATGCAGATGTAGATGTGAGTCTCGCTGTTGATGTTGATGTAGATGTAGATGCAGGTGTAGATGTTAATGCAGCTGTCGGTGTAGATGCAGATGTTGCTTTCCTAGATGCTCCAACTCCTAGGTAGGGTCGCACTGGGATAATTTTGCCGATCGGCGCAGGCCCTCGCAGCCCCCCTCCTCCCCCATGGAGTGGATCTTGGCTGTTTTTGGAGCCTGTTTTCAGGCGGGGGGAGTCTCCCCCAGAGGACACACGGTTCCAAAGAGTCGCACTAAGCAGAGGTCCAGAGCCAGACCCCTCCCCCTCCCACCCCATCCGGAAACGCCGAATAAAAAAACGCTCACAAGACGCTCGAGACCAGAACGACACTGTGCTCCTCCTGAAAGAGCAGCTCCGCCTCGCCGCCGCCCACGTCCCCGACGAGCGGCTGCCGAGCAGCGAGACAGTACGGATCACAGGTCTCCTTCTCCTCCTCCTCCTCCTCCTCCTCCTCCTCCTCCTCCTCCCCCTCCTCCCCCTCCTTCCCCTCCTCCCCCCCCCCTCTTACCTCCTCCTCCTCCTCCTCCTCCTCCTCCTCCTCCTGCCAACGGTCACGAGCTCCGCACCGACATGCCGCCGACACGCAGCTGCTGACGCCTTCCAGAGACGCGCTGCGCGCGCGGCCCCTTGAAGGAATGCAAGAGATAGAGCGGGGAGGCCAGGCAGGGCCAGCCTCCCCTAACAAATCATCCTGGCAAAAAGGCCCAGCATGCAATTGTGAATACAGTCGTTGCGGGTATTGCCTGCGGTGGATCTACTTACTGGGCCACGAGACGTGTGAAGGGTGTCCCGGCATGGGGCGGGGCCGCCATGCGGGCGCTGCCACAAAGGCCTGCACTGGAGCTCCCCAAAGAGCCACGAAACGTGTGATGGGTGAGCCGAATCGTGCGCGGGCACGTCGTGGCAATTGTGCCGCTGAGGCCTTCGGTGGAGCTTCCTGTATATGGGGCCACGAAACGTGTAAAGGGTGTGCCGGATCATGCAGACTGTGCGCAGGGGCCTTCGGTGGATCATCCTAAGGCGGCACGACGCGTGTGCGGGGTGTGCCGAATCAGGTGCGGGCACGCAATGCGGACTATGCCACTAGGGCCTTCGGTGGAGCTTCTATGCGGCTGCGACACGCGTGAGGAGTGTGCCGAATCGGGTGCGGGTACGCCATGCGGACTGTGCCACTTGGTCCTTTGGTGGAGCTCCCTATGGGGCCATGAAACGTGTGAGGGGTGTACCGAATCGGGTGCGGGTGCGCTGCTCGGACCCACCATCGGCAACCACTCCCCTGGTTCGTCGCCGTCGTCGCCGCCACAACGCTGAGCCGAGCCGATTCGACGCCAGGCCAGTCCCCCCCTGACCCAGATCTCCGACGTAGCGTTTTTGTCACGACAAAGACCACGAGGGATCTGGATACCCTACATCAGTTGTTCATCCCGAGCCGTTTATGGGCAGTCCCGGGAGCTGGTAAGGGCCCCTGGAGGCTGACAATGGTCGAAGACCAGCCAGCCGTGATTTGTTCGCAACTGGAGGGGATGGGCGTCGGCGGCGGCGACGAAAACGACGACGACGACGACGACATTGGCGACGACGACGGCGACGGCGACACCGAGGACGACGGTGACGGCGACGGCGACGGCGACGACGACGACGACATTGAAGACGACGGCGACGACGACGACGACGGCGACGACGACGGTGACGGCGACGACGACGGCGACGGCGACGGCGACGACGACGGCGACGGCGCCAGCGACGGCGATGGCGACGGCGACGACGACGGCGACGGCGAGGGCGACGACGAGGACGACAGCGACGGCGACGGCGACGGCGAAGACGACGGCGACGGCGAAGACGACGGCGACGGCGACGATGACGACGGCGACGGCGTCGGCGACGACGACGACGACGGCGACGGCGACGGCGACGGTGACGGCGGCGGCGGCGGCGGCGGCGACGACGACGACGACGACGACGACGACAGCGAGCCGCTGCGGCGCGAGGCGGCGGGTCCACCCCGATGCGTCGTCGGCGCCGGCGTCGGCGGAGGCGCAATGACGACTTCGGCGTCGTCGGCGTCGGCGGCGTCGTCGTCGGCGGCGAGCCGCTGCGACTCGAGTCCTGGACTTGCTCCTGGACGCGGAGCCGGACTTTGC